TTAAAATGTATATATTTTTACCACAATGAAAATTAATTACAGTTGACCCTTGAACAACACGAATTTGAACTGCACAGACCCTCTTATACGTGGGTGTGGGTTTTCCCAGTAAATATACATAGGGCTGAATATATGGTTGGTTGACCATATGATTTCACTCATATGTGGAATTTAATGAGCAAAATGAATTACCAAGTAAAATAAAGACAGACTCATAGACAGAGATCAGGCAGACAGCTCTGTTTTCTGTGTGTGTGTGTAGGGATTGAGCAAAAAAGAAAAAAAAGAGTGAACTCATGGACACGGACAACAGTATGGTGATTGCGGGTGGTAGGGGAGGGGGGGGTGGAGGTGGACGAGGTCATAGAGGGGTTAATGATGATAGATAAAATAAAATATTAAAAAAATATATATATATATGACTTCACAGATTCAACCAAAAGCAGTATTTTGCATCCCCGGTTGGGAATCCAGGGAAGTGGATGGCCGACAGAATGCGCTGTGCCACGCCGTTTTATAGGAGGGACTTGAACATCTGGGATTTTGGTGTGGGGGAGGGTGTCCCTGATACCGAGGGACGACGGAAGTTCTAGGGGAGTTAAAAGGTATACAAGGATTTCAACTGCACGGGGCAGCCCAGGAGGTGTCAATGCCCCAACCCTAAGTTGTTCAAGGGTCAACTATAATTTTTTTATTTTTAAAAAAGCAACCTTACCTGACACGGGAGAGTAAGGCACCCTGGCTTCATCCACAAAGCGAGACCTGCTGAGAAGGGCTTTCTACCTGGTCTCTTCACTCTGGCTGCACATTAGAATCACCTGGCAGCTCTTTAAAGCAGCCTGTATTTGGGCCCCACCTGGGACCAATTAAACCAGATCTCAGGTGCTGGGCCCAGGGCAAAGTTAGGAGTTTGGGGAGATTTCAGTGTGCGCCCAGGGTTGAGAAATGCTGCTCTAGACCTGGGGTCTCAAGGTGTGGTCCACAGACCAGCAACAGCACCTGGGAACCTGTTAGAAATGCAGATTCTGGGGCTCCAGCCCAAACCTGCTCTGTCAGGCACTCTGAGGGTGGGGCCCAGCAATCAGTGTTTAACAAGCCATCCAGGGGATTCTGATGCGCACTCAAGCTTGACAACCACTCTTCAGAGTCTAGTGCAGTGGTTCTCAACCTTGGCTGCACATTAGAATCACTTGGGAATCTTTAAAATCCTGATTTCTGGGCCTCATCCTCCGGAAATTCTGTTTCTTTGTTACTAATGTTGTGGCCCCACCCCATAACAAAGAAACAGAAATTCTCTCTCATCATTGATGTTTCTATCTCTCCCTCTCTGAAATATATATGTATGTGTGTGTATATACACACACACACACACAAAGCCTTCCCTCCAGAAAGAACCTGACATAGAGCCCCTGTTCTCCACCCACTCCCTGGACCTCTCCTCTCCCTTCACCCTCACAATATTGCAGAGGGATTACTGGGGAAGGTAGGGGGGAGGTGGAGGGAGGTGGAGAAGAAGGACTTCCCAAGGACTCTCAGAGTTAAGTTGATAGCGCCAGTCTTGCGGTGTACGTCTTCCCACCTCCAGCCTGCGAGATTGGCCCCCACTGCCATGGCTAAACTGGAAATGATGCCAAGAATGGCTTGGCAGGACTTTACCCCTGTCCTCCCTCTTAAGCTGATCCAAACAAAAACTGAAATAAGAAAAAGTTTGATATAAAGAATGGATTAAAGCACCTTTAGGAAACATTTCCATTTGTATTGATCTGTAACATAAAATCCCAGAAAGACCGATGGGCCTGCAGTGGCAGTCCTGCTCGAAGCTTTCTAAGTAATAAGTAACCCTGACCCTCCCGTGCTCACCGCCCTTGCTCTGACTCATTTGTAGCATTAATAGGGGAAAAGCTTCAACACCAGTTTGGTTCCTTGGCTTCTGCTTGTTTATAATAAAATCATAAGACCTCGTCCATCAATCATTAACCCACACCCCTGCTGGTCTCCTTTCCTCCTGATCACCTTTGCAGGCCTGCTGAGTTCCAGGATTTTTGATTGGGTTTTCACTCTCTGGGTTTCCTCTCCAGGCAGGCTTCAGTGTTCTGGTCTGATCCATTCAGCAAACATTAGCCGAGTGCCTCCTTCAGCCCAGAGTTCATTTCTACCTCTGCTGGCTGGGTCCATCCCCTACTATCTGCTCAGGGCCACACTCCATTAATGAGCTTCTCTCTCTCCTGATCCACCTTCCTGCTCTACTCCCGTTGCTTCTGCGTGGAAATATGCTCAAATCTCTCCATTAAAACACCAAAGTTTTACTGTTATCTTCATCTTCCTATAATGCATATGTGTGTATGCACCCACACGCTTCTCTCATCTCTTTATGGCTCGATTTCTGAAATGAGCTTAAGAAATCCTTCACACCAGTTCATTAAGCATTTAGTAAGTGCCGCTATGTGCTCAGACTTGGGGGAGAGAGGTGACAAAAGTTCCAGTCTTCAAAAGGTCTTTGAAGCTTGCGGACTTGGAGTTCTAGTCTGGAACAGGTTTGTGCTCTATCCTGGAGATGACAGTCCTGGGTGAAACAGGTTAAATGACAATTCAAGTCACGGTACCAACGGAGGCTGGCTTAGGTGTTCAGGGCAGGGAGAAAGCACTGGAGTAGCTTTGGCAGAACTCGAGATGGACTGTGAGGAGTGGACAAGATTTGGAAAGCTGAAGAGGAAAGAAGAACGCATTTCATTCAAACTTTTAGCATAAGAACATTTGGGAAGGTTGGTTAGCACAGCTTGTTCTGAGGATGGGGGAGCTGGCCGACCATGGGGCTGACTGGGGGAGGGCCTCTGAAGGCCTTGACAATCTGAAGGGTTTTAGGTCATGACAGACGGCTATGGTTCTGCTTTGTTTTATTGAGGTGAGATAGGGCATGCTGTAGGAAAGGGAGTGGAGAGGTGGAGTAGGGCCACAGAAGCGGGGCTGCCCCTGGTTAAACCTGGTTATTAGAAAGGAGATTGGCAGCTCACAGGAAAGACTGAGGCAGGGAACCTTTGCAGTGTGACCTGGTGAGGGCCTAACCTGGAGTGTGGAGGAGATGGAAACTTGACTCCAGGACCTGGTAGGGGTGATGGAAACTTGACTCCAGGACCTGGTAGGGGTGATGGAAACTTGACTCCAGGACCTGGTAGAGGTGATGGAGGTGCTGAAAACTTGACTCCAGGACCTGGTGGAGGTGATGGTGATGGAATCCTGACTCCAGGACCTGGTGGAGGTGCTGATAACTTGACTCTAGGACCTGGTGGAGGTGATGGAAACTTGACTCCAGGACCTGGTGAAGGTGGTGGTGATGGAAACTTGATTCCAGGAACTGGTGAAGGTGATGGAGGTGATGGAAACTTGACTCCAGGGCCTGGTGGAGGTGATGGAGGTGATGGAAACTTGACTCCAGGGCCTGGTGAAGGTGGAGGTGATGGAAACTTGACTCCAAGACCTGGTGGAGGTGATGGTGATGGAAACTTGACTCCAGGACCTGGTGGAGGTGGAGGTGATGGAAACTTGACTCCAAGACCTGGTGGAGGTGATGGAGGTGATGGACACCTGACTCCAGGACCTGGTGGAGGTGATGGAGGTGATGGAAACTTGACTCTAGGACCTGATGAAGGTTGTGATGATGGAAACTTGACTCCAGCACCTGGCAGAAGTGGTGGTGATGGAAACCTGACTTTAGGACGTGGTGGAGGTGCTGATAACTTGACTCCAGGACCTGGTGGAGGTGATGGAGGTGATGGAAACTTGACTCCAGGAACTGGTGAAGGTGGTGGTGATGGAAACTTGACTCCAGGACCTGGTGGAGGTGGTGGTGATAGAAACTTGACTCCAGGGCCTGGTGAAGGTGGTGGTGATGGAAACCTGACTCCAGGGCCTGGTGGAGGTGATGGAAACTTGACTCCAGGACCTGGTGGAGGTGGAGGTGATGGAAACTTGACTCCAGGGCCTGGTGGAGGTGATGGAAGTGATGGAAACCTGACTTCAGGACCTGGTGGAGGTGGTGGAGGTGATGGAAACTTGGCTCTAGGACCTGGTGGAAGTGGTTGTGGTGGTGATGGAAACTTGGCTACAGGGCCTGGTGGAGGTGGTGGTGGTGGTGATGGAAACTTGGCTCCAGGACCAAATGAGGGCAAAGAATGGACTGAGCCAGCCTGGCTCTGAGATTTTGAGTCTTGGAATAGTGGGTCCAATTGTTCACTGATGAGGCATTGCTCTATTCACTTCAGATCTAGGTCAGAACACAGCCACTAGCTGCTATATGTGGATCTTATTTGAACCCTGAATTTTACAAATAAACCATTACAAATTTATGAGAAAATTTGAAAATTTTTAATTTTGCCTGGATTTGATAACATTAAGGAATTAATTGTTTTCTTTTTAAGAGTGGTAATGATATTTTGAGTCCTTATATTTTGGAGAGACATAGTGAAATATGTACTAATGACATATATTTGGATTCATTTCAGAATTATCCAAGAACAGGGGAGTGTTGGTATAGGATAGATGAAGCCGGATTGACTATGAATTGTTAGTTGTTGAAGCTGGGGGTGTGCTCTCCTCTCTACTGTTGTATACATATGAAATTTTCCATAAAAAAATTCTTGGCTTCAGGTAATGCAAGTCTTACACCCTGGGCCTGATCGTTTCCAATCAGAAATCACAAGAGGCATTTAAAACTGTGCCATATTAATCTCTTGTTACATTTCAAAACAGAAATTCGGTCCTCTTCTGTTTTGCCTAAAGCAGTTAAAGTCATGAACTGGGAAGAAATAATGCCTTGGTTTTATGTGGAAACAAACTAGGAGATACACATGATCTCCTTTATCATGATCATGAGAGAAATCCAACCAATCAAAGAGGCAAAGCCAACCCTCAAGAGAAAAGCCACATTTTTAGGTAGCTGGAAATAAATGCTTCTTTTGGAAGAGTTGGTCCCAGGGGAGGTCTTCTGGCAGCAGACACAAGGCATGAGTGTGAAAGCTGAGACTGAGTTGAAAAATTACAGCCTGAGCTTCAACTACCAGCGAAGAGGCCGGTGCTACTGTGGAGGTGGGTCACACATTGCCGGACAGAGTCTGGGGGCAGAAAGGAGCCTCCCACTGACACCCTCATACTAGTTGCCTGGTGCCCACCCACATGGCACCTCATTCTCACTTATAAGCCACAAAGATGGAGGCTGCTTTGACAATGTCCCCAGTCGTGTGAGAAGGGGACACCAGCCATCACCTGCTGGTGGAGGGTCCCAGGGATTGCCATGAAGCCCATACTGGGCAGGCCATCTCCCAGGCTACAGGGCAGCGACCAGGTTTCTTTTTCAATGAGGTCCCAGACAGAACAAATTGTCATACATGTTAACTAGAAAGCTAGGAGGGCAAATTTTGAACTTGAGGGGGGAAAATTATATCTGGGAATGGGAAGCTAGGAGATTATGTAGGTGTGTGCTTCCCTGGGGACAAACAAGCACACAGTTAGCATGAGAAAACCCTGCAGTGAGCACGTGAGGGCCTGCTCATTGCGGTCAAGGCGGAATGAGTGAGCCATGGTTCTTGTCTTTAAGGAGAGCACAGGAAGGGAGGGGACAGGTACGCAGAATCTCCTGGGAAAGTGCTGAAACAGAGGGCATGTTGGTCCTGTGACTCAGGCAGGGCAACTCAGCCAAAGTCTAACTTTGGGCAAATCGGTTCATCTCATTTTCATCTATAAAATGGGGCAATTCTTGCCTTGCTGACATGGTAGAGTTGTAGAGCTGTAAGGAGCTAGACCAGCCGTGGGCAAACTACGGCCCGCAGGCCGGATCCAGCCCGTTTGAAATGAATAAAACTAAAAAAAAAAAAAAAAGACCGTACCCTTTTATGTAATGATGTTTACTTTGAATTTATATTAGTTCACACAAACACTCCATCCATGCTTTTGTTCCGGCCCTCCGGTCCAGTTTAAGAACCCATTGTGGCCCTCGAGTCAAAAAGTTTGCCCACCCCTGAGCTAGACCATTAAAACAACAACAATGATAAATAAAGAAGCTTCAGCAGCCCTCCCTGCGTGGTTCAGTGGTCAAGTGTTGACCTATGAACCAGGAGGTAATGGTTTGATTCCTGGTCAGGGCACATGCCCGGGTTGTGGGCTCTATCCCCAGTCTGGGGCATGCAGGAGGCAGCGATCAATGATTCTCTCTCATCATTGATGTTTCTATCTCCTTCCCTCCCCCTTCCTGTCTGAAATCAATATATATATTTTAATACCTTATATATAAAAAAGCATCAGCAGTTGCATCAGCAGCTGCAGGCGTAGCCCTCTTATCTAAGGGCCTGTGACTGGAGCTCATGGACGAGTGCCCCCTGTGGACGGCAGCCAAGACCCAGGGCAGGTTCCTGATGCAGGTGCTGCCCACTCTCCAGCCAGCCCCGGAGTAGCGGCGCTCCGTAACCGCATTCCCATAGTTGGTTCCTTGTCACAAGCCCAGAAACTGCTGTGGCATGAGCAACCCTCTCCAACTCGTTCAAACTCGCCTGATTCAGAGGGTGAAGGCGCTTAGTTCTAGTAATCTTAATAAATCCAGAGCTTGAGAGGCAGAAGGGACGTTTGGAACATGCTGTCCAATCCTCCCATTTGTACGCAGGGCAAAGGCGACTTAGGCAGGATGTCACTGGCTCGAGGTCACTGAGCTGGTGCCAGAATCTGGTTCTCGGACTGTCCTGGTCCAAGAGAGCTGCTTCTCTTTCCTGGGAGGTTTGGTCACCACTGTTGCCTTTTATAACCTTCGTCTTTTCCTGTCTCCAAATACCTCATTCAGCCGAATGTCCAAGGAAGAGTAGTTACAACAAAATAAAGGAGAAAAATTCTTCCCAAGCTTTTTCCCAAGCTCTCTGTTCTCCGGGATCGTTCATTCTTCGGAAAATGTTTCCTAAATGCCTGTTATGTGTGTGGACCCCATCACAACCCGGATTCACAGAGATGAAAATGAGATGGCCCAGTCTCCAAGGAGCTCCTGGGGCAGTCACCATGAAAACGCTCTCTTCGTGAAACCTCTGCTCTAGGAAAAGAAAGTCCTTCTTCTAACCTGGTTCCCTTTAGTCCTGTGTGCACGGAGAAGTCCTCTCATGGCCTCTTTACTTCCTGAGAATTTCCATTCATGCCCATCTGGCAGCTTCTGCCACCTGGACTGTGGGCCCAGGTGGTGTAGTGAGCAGAGAAAAGGTGGCTGCCTTACTCTGGAGGGCTTGCCCCCACTCCATGTGCCTCTTCCTGACCCTTAGGGTTTGCATGACACCTCCCTGCTCCCTCCTGTTCCTGAAGAGTTTGGCTTTGCCCTCAGCTGAATCACTGTCTTCCCCCAGGCTGCCCATTGCTCTGGTTCCTCCAGTCTCTCCCCCAGTCACCGTCTTGGTGCGGTTGAGTTGCCTTGAGTCCAGCGCTTTGAGGCCTTGGCTACAAAAACAGCATAGTTCAGTGGCAACTCTGACTGACGTGTGCAAGTGAGGAAATGTGTCCAGTGAAAGGTTGGACTGGAGATTCTGATGTCCCTTCCAGCTCTAGCATTTCTGAAAAGGTATATGCAAAGGTTGACAGCCTGGAACAGGGGTGCTCAAACTACAGCCCGCAGGCCACATGAAAATACAAATATTGTATTTGTTCCCGTTTTGTTTTTTTTACTTCAAAATAAGATATGTGCAGTGTGCATAGGAATTTGTTCATAGGTTTTTTTAAAACTATAGTCCGGCCCTCCAACGGTCTGAGGGACAGTGAACTGGCCCCCTGCATAAAAAGTTTGAGGACCCCTGGCCTGGAAGGTTCTAGAAGGGTTCTACTGCGTGCATCCAGACCTAGGACCAACTCCTCGCAGCATTTTAAATGAATGTGGGCACTGAGTTTTGCTTCTGACTTTCCCTACTCTTAGAAGAGGTCTGCTGGTTAGAGACTGCAGTGCAGGGAACTGGGGTGCTGAGGGCCAGGACACGCACTCACACTCTTGTTGTCTATGGAAGGGTCCCCAGAAGAAGTGGTGCGCCTTCCTCCTCTGCTGTAGTTAACACCCTTCTCTGTGCTGAACACTGATGAATGGACCCCAGGAGGCAATGCTGGGTTCCCAACTCCGAGAGGGCCCACAGGGCACCACCATCTACTCTAACAAGCCGTGACATGCCAATTATTTGCTCTTCTGGAGAAACCTCAGCCTGAAATCTGTTTAATTACCATGGAGATAATCTTATAAACATAGCTTTTACATTCTTTAAAGACTTTTCCCTGTGGGAGCGAGAAGGTTTAGCTGACCGTGGGACGGGATTATTTATTTTCATTTCCAGAGGAAGGACTATCACCTGGTAGTCATCAGGGGGCCTGTGCCATGGAGGATTTATTTTTAAGTCTGCCTCCTCGCTGACAGTTTGTCAATGAGGTTGTAATAATTAGTTTGTAGTACCGTCTTACTTTTTCTCAGTGTGAACCTTGCACGTTGCTCTGTGATTCCAGGCCTGTAATTACTTGATGTTTGAAAAGTATCCCTATCAGGTTGGGTTCTGTACTTACCCTGGCTGTGGGTATCAAGAGCCAATATCTTCAAGGGTTTCCTCTCAGGAAGATTATAGCTGTAAACCCATTAGCCTCAAAGACCTACCTGGCGCTGCAGTCCGTCCGACACCGATTTTTCCCACCTGGGCGTCCCAGCAGATTCATAAGTTTTTCCCACTAGAATGCACACTTGGGCCAGCAGGGGCTCCAGTTGGTGTGCAACCTGGAGGCCCTAAGGCCCAGGGCGATCCCTGCTCACAACAGGTAGACTGTGAAAGTCAACAGGTCTTCATGTGGAGAGGACGTGCTGTATCGAAATAGGAACAATGTACAGAATAAAGCCGAGCCGGTGGGCCCTAGTCCCTGGTCTGCTGCTCTAGTCCTTTCCCCACATCACTACCAGCAAGTGGTCTGGGGCATTGGCTAGACCTGATTCTGTAGGCTGAGATCTCTGGGCCTCGGAGAACAGACCTCTGGGGAGTAAGAAGATGAAAGGTGTAATTCTATTGAACGCAGAATTAGAAGGTTAGAAAAAAAATTGTTTGTGGAAAACTGATTAAACCTTGAGCTTGAATCTCTCCTGCCAGGTCCTGCCGGGGAGAAGAGCTGGCCCAAGAACTACCCGTCGTGTGGGGGCCTGATGCAGTCCCCAATAGACCTGCACAGTGACATCCTCCAGTACGATGCCAGCCTGGTGCCCCTTGAGTTCCAGGGCTATAACGTGTCTGCCAATGAGCAATTAACCCTGACCAACAACGGCCACTCAGGTGAGGGAGACACCCCAGAGACCTGCAGGTGTCCAGCTTCCCTAGGCTGCCTGCCTGCTCTCGTCCATCTGCCGGGGAGGGGGCTCCACTGAGGCACCAAGGGGAGGGGCCCAGACCACTCCCTCCAGGGGTGCTGGGGGTCCTGGGCTCAGCCCCTTCTGCCAGGGCAGCACCTGTCAGAAGAAGCACATGTCTTGGGATGGGGACAGGCCCGGACCCCTTTGGCCACTGGCTGTGGTGTGGGAGTGAATTCTTGGGCATCATGAACTCAAGGAGCCACACAGTTCATTGCGGGCCCGCACCCAGGCTTTGGAGTCAGACAAACCTGGATCTGAATTCTGGCTTGAGCGTTCACCTGGAAAAGGGGCATAAGGATGGGTACTGTGAAGACGAGAGAGTATGTATGTTGGGATCTGTTGTCGAGTAGATGCTTCATAAATGGCAATTACTGTTGTTGCTGTGATAGAACTCTACAGCTTGGCAGGTGCTTCATTAAAGGTTCTGTCTTCACGGTCAGGTGTGCGATGCATGGACATGTGAACGAGCATTCGTTGGTCTAGTATCAGTGTTCCTGCCATCGTTTTCCATTTTCCAAGGGGAACCAGGAAGGTGCTGGTGCCGCAGGGATTGCTTTAGTGAAATAGGGATGTTCTCAGGGAAGGAGGCCCTATGCCTGACCCGCAGGCTGTGTTTCTCGGGTCTCCACCTTGCTGTATCCACCTGCCCCCTGTATGGGACCCGAGCAGGTGCTGTCTACCTGACTCTGAAGGTCACCTCTCCACTCCCCGCAGTGAAGCTGAAGCTGCCCCCGGGCATGCACATCCAGGGCCTGGCCATCCCGCTACAGCGCACCCAGCTGCACCTGCACTGGGGGGACCAGAATGACCCCCACGGCTCCCGAGCACACTGTCGGTGGGAAGCACTTCGCTGCCGAGGTGAGTGGGGTGGCCAGGCTGGCAGAAGGTGCCCCAGGGTGGGTGATCTGGCATTCTTCGAGTTGGTGTGCAGATAAGACCAGAGCATGGGGGTGGGGGCGGGGGGGCTGTAAGAATAGTGACGGGGTGGGGGCTCTGCCTTCATGCTGTCCACAGCCACACCCAGCCGTGAGCAGCACAGGACGGTGTAGCCACTCCGGCCACACTGCAGCTCCTCTGCGGTGTCCGGGTCCCCTCTCTCTCCTAAACAGGCTGAGTTTGTCTCTGTATCGTCTGCTGAGCGATGCTGCTCAGAAGGCAGTGCTCTGGGGGACCACGGTGGGACACATATGCCCGTTTTCTAGACATCGCCCTTCTGTTGGCACAGATCCCACCAGCTTGTCCAGCTGATGCACAGCCCGCTGAATTACCCTGGGCTAACTGCTCCCCCAACTTCTCAGTCTTCTCCACATGCCATGTTGTTGGCACAGGTCTTTCCCGTCCCATCTTTCCTGTCCCTGAACATGGGCTGTGCTTGGAACTTGGGACCCAAGTCCAGGGCTACTGTTTTACTCGGCCACAAACCAAGGGATGGCTGGCATCGTAACGTGCAGGGCATCACGGCAACCAGAGACTCGCCGAGGACAGCTTGGGGTGTCAGCGGAGCACTGTGTTACGTAGCCCTGAAGCACTAACCCAAAAGGCAAAGGAAGACAGGAGGAGGCGCGGCGGTGTGATGGTGGGAGAGGGGGAGAGTTGCTTAATGCCAGAGCTCCCATGGACTTGAACTTGGGGTGTGTTCTGAATGTTTACAGGGCAGTATGAGGAGGTAAATACATCTGATCAGCCAGTGGAGCCCACAGTAAATACTGACATGACCGCTCTCCTCTGTTCTTAATTGCTGAACTGCTTAATGCCTCAGGCTAATTACAGGTTGAGCTCCGAATGTGGAAAGACTATAATGCTGGCCCAGTCGCATGGCACTGCTGGAGGTGCACATATTCCAGGCCAGGCCCCTCTCTGAACCCCCAGGGCTGCGAGTTCTTCCAGGCTAATTGCCCTGTGGAGGCCCCTACTTTCCCCTGGGGAATAAAGGAGTGAGGGTGTAGGCCGGGAGGGTTTGGACATTTAAAAATATTTCTAGTTATTGTATTTTCTGCTATTAAGCCACATCATCAGGCCAAGAGCCTGGTGAAGATGGACCATAGATGTCAATAACAGAGAAAGTGCATCAGGTTAACCCTAAAGTGGCGGGTTCTCTATGGAGGGTCCTTGGGAGTTGGAGGTTCTTCTGGGTGGAGTGTGTGTAAGACAACGCCATCCTCGCAGCAGGGCTTCCCTTCCGTTTGTATTAGTCTTCACCTCCTCTCAATTAGTCTGAACACAGTGCCCACAAGCTCAAAGGTCAGCCGTAAAAAGAAATAAGGCTCTAGGACCTCCAGGGTTTTAACCAGATAGGATTCTGTTCCTTTTGTCAAAGCGATGCCAGGCAAGGATGGTGTTGGACAATAGGGGAGGCTGCATCCTTCAGGGGGTGGGGGGTGGGGGGAGATGGTGAAGTAGGAGCCCCTAAGAAATTCTGAATAGAGGTCCACATAAAAAAAAGCAATAGTTTGATGTAATTTTTAAAAATTAGGAAGGGCCACTAGAAAAGTGGAGAACATTGAGCTATATTTGAACATTGAACATTGAGCTGTATTTAATAAAATATTCTTGAATTCTAAATATAACCATATAAGATGGAAAAAGAGGCAAAGAATCAACAAAAATGCATGTGTCAAACCTACAGATCTGTTTACTAAGATGGTTTTTTGGAGAACAAATGACACCACCGTTAGGATTAAAAAGCAGGTCATCAACGTTGTCAGAATGTGTCCCAACAATGTCTTAATGCTTCCCTAGACTTGTTTCCACTTGAGACCAAATATTAGACCTGCGATTTTCTCTACCTGAGGGATACATGCGTGTCCTACTGAGGATACAATTACAATTAAGTTACAGTTAGAGGTTTACTGCCCCAGCCCCCACTGCTTCCAGATCAAGTGCATAGAGGCCAGACACATGAGGCCGTTTTGCCCCCGGCTCCAGAACAAGTAAGGAAAATTAGAAGGGAGAAGTGTGCCAAAGTACCAGGCTAGTATAAAAACCCATTTGATCATTCATTCATTCTTCATTCATTCAATATTGTGCACCTGGTACTTTCCAAGCAGGATATCAGACATGGGGATACAATGAATTAGGAAGGTGGACAGTCTGGCCTGGCAGTTTGCAGGGAGGAGTGAGGGAAAAGGGAAACTGTGGCGGCCATGAGGGGAGGGTCTGAGAGGCGTGATCTAACTGCGGGGGAGGTCGGTCCTGCCCATGGGACTCCAGTCTCTTGCAAAAGCCAGAGGTTCCCATGCGTCGCCCATCCCCTCATAAGCGGCTTCTCGCCCACTGCAGCTGCACATTGTCCATTATAACTCGGACCTGTACCCCAACGCCAGCATCGCCAGTAACGAGTCAGACGGCCTCGCTGTCCTAGCTGTTCTCATCGAGGTAAGAGATGTTAAGAGGGGTTTTACATGAAGTTTGAAGCTGGGATGACATCAGACTCAGCATTTGGTTCCATGCAACCGGTGTCCTGCCTCCAGAGCAGGGGGTTGTTCCCCATAGAGTTCCTTCTCTCTTGGCCTGGGGGCAGCACTTCCTGTGGCTGAGCAGCAGAAAGGGGCATGTCCTTCGTGACATCGGGAAAATGAGCCCTAGTCCCCATCCCCAATGCATAAGGGATGGAATTTCCCAGTTGGACAGGACATGTGAGTGAGTGTGTGTGTGTGTGTGTGTGTGTGTGTGTGTGTGTGTGTGTTTGAGGGGGAGGTAGTGGTGGTGGTGGTGGTGAAGTAGGAATCATTCAGTTCTGTTCCATCAAATGCCTGAACCCCTGACACAACTCCAGGCATCCAAGTTCCATCCGTATGGACTCTGGAATGAGTTCTTTCCTAATCCCAGAAAATGGGAACCTCTCCCGATTCCCCTGCAGTATTTTCCCCTAATGAGACAGCCTGTGCCATGTTTCTCAACATGTGCACTGCCTGGCCTGGCGGCATGAGCTCAGGCTCCCTCGAGTTCTGGTTAGAGAACAAGCCTTCGGGCTCACAGCGGGTCATCGGAGCACAGGCTACATCCCTTGCCCTGGGACACCCCAGCCCAGCGCCTGGGTGGAAACAGCACATCCTGAACTACAGGAAGGCAGGATCGTTCTACCAACCCCGGGCCAGCCTAGAGACCCATCGTAACTGTCCTCGTAAAGGGCATTCTTCAGGGAGGCCTGGCAGCAGTGACCATGGCCCCAGCCAAGCCCTCCCACTGCCATTGTCAGTCCAGGCTCGGCCTATAGAAATCTATCCCAGTTCAATCCACCCTGTCTCTGTTGCAGATGGGCTCCTTCAATCCTTCCTACGACAAGATCTTCAGTCACCTTCAGCACGTGAAGTACAAAGGTGAGGTGTCCTGGATGCTGCTTCGCCCTCTGTTGGGACAGATGTAGTGACTCCCGTGTGACCTGAAGAAAAACGAATGCTGAGGGCAGGTGTCTGGGACCAGGTCCCTGGGTCCGATGGCCCGGAAAGGGGCTAGTTCACATTTCTAGGCTCAGTCACATGCTCAGCTGCTCCTCTGCTGTGGGGACCGAGGCCGACACTCCCCCAACCTGTCTCTCCAGGCCAAGAAGTGCACATTCCCGGCTTCAGCATTGAAGAGCTGCTGCCCGAGAGGCCGGCCGAGTACTACCGCTACAGAGGGTCCCTGACCACGCCGCCTTGCAACCCCACGGTGCTCTGGACAGTGTTCCGGAACCCCGTGCACATTTCCCAGGACCAGGTGAGTGTCGGCCCCTCCTCCTCAGAGGCCACAGGCATTACCCATGGCCTCCCCAAGGGCTTGCTTTCCTCAGAGTTTCACTGGCTACTACCCCAACCTCCCAAATGCCCCAGGCGCCTGGGAAGCGCTCTGTGGGGCTATCAAGTCTAACGAAAACGAATCCATCTCCACCGTTCTTTAAATAGAGTTGCCAAGTTGCATTTCCCACGATATCCCTGGGTGGGTGGTGTTCACTCCCAGGTGGGAGGGAGTGCGGTTCCTTTGCAGGGGGGCGGGGGTGGGGGCGGGGGTGGGGGTGGGGGTGCTGCTGCCATGAGGGAGTGAAGGTATCCGCCCTCAAGCTCACAGTCTAGTTCGAGACGAAGGGCCAGAAGCCTGGCAGTCATCTCAGCCCCTCTCATCGTACAGGGGATGAAGGTGAGGGTTAGATCTGAGGAGACTTGCGGGATCACCGCTGGCTAGTGACAGAGCCAAGAGTTCCAGGCCACTGCCCGGCCCTCTACACCGCAGCCTCAATTCAAGAAGAAAGCGGCCAGGAGCCGGGGCTCGCGGCCCAGCCCACCGTCACCCCCACAGAGTGGCTCCTTTTGTCCTATGAGCTACCGATCTGAGTAACCCAGATAAAGGCAGCAAGTAGGCAGACAGGAATAAAGATGTGGTGAATCAAGGGGAGAAACGTGTGGGGAAGCAGTCACATGCTACCCGGAAACTGCCTTGCAAACAGACTCTATAATCCATGTGGGCAGATGAAACCCCATGGGACTGGCAATCAGATGAGCTGAGCAGCTCTTGCCTCCTCTTTCCCTTCCTTCTGATGGGAGGAAGCCCCATCAGAATAAACCCCAGGCCCCTCTGACTTAGAGTCCGGTCCCAAACCAGGCTCAGGGGAATGGAGCCACTCCAGCACCCCAGGCTTCCCTCCCTGCACACAGACAGTGGGCACAACCTGGAGGCAACTGCACTAACCTTCCCAAGCCTGGGGAGGTGGGCAGACAGCCACCTTACCCCGTGCCTGTCACCCAGAGGCCCGCAGGGGAGGGGCCGTTCTCTGGCCTTCCCGCCTCTCTCTACTGAGGCTCTGCCAAGGCCCCCCCACATTCTCTGTGTGGGGGGAAGGGCAGTCCCCCGCTCCTGAGGTCAGGCCAGGGAGCCCTCACTCTGCCTGAGGGTGTGTGCTCCTCTCCCACAGCTGCTGGCTCTGGAGACAGCTCTGTACTGCACACATGAGAACGACCCCTCCCCCAGGGGAATGGTCAACAACTTCCGGCGGGTGCAGAAGTTTGATGAGAGGCTGGTGTACATCTCCTTCCAACAAGGTGAGGACATGCAGGGCGTGGGGGGCGTGTGGTGCCAAGACATCCTTTGCCACCCCCCGCCCCCTCAGGCTTTGTCCCAATGCCCTTGGGTGGGTTACGAGCACTCTGGCCGCCAAAGGAACCAGGGTGCATGAGGAGCTAGTGGGGGGGGGGGGGGGTTCACTGAGAACTCCCTTCGTGCTCCTGACTCCCCTGAGCCTTTGTAGGGAGGACGCCAGGGCCTCCGGGCGCACAGACCGGAGCCCTCGTTCAGTCTGGGAGTCTCCCACAGCTGGGAGAGAGAGAATGCTCCGGGACCTCTCTGCTCTGGAGACCCAGCCCTTCTCCTGAGGCACATGGTAGCCCCCTTTTTTGTGATCACACTGTCACGTCTCCGTCCAGGCTTTCTTAGCCCCAAGGCCCGTCCCCAGCCTTGCTGGGTGGTTGGCCACCAGCACCACCAATGTCCAGGGTCTCCTCTGGGAGGAGGCGCATCCGTGGGCACAGCCGCTCGCGGTCCAGTGGATGGGCCCGATAGGCAGGGAAGTGCCTACATCACTGCCTTTCGGCCTCCTCCCCCGGAAGCTGCTTAGGCACCGGGACCAGCGGCTCCTGAAGGAAACCTACGGTTTGCTTTATTCCTCCTGCTACGAAAGCCCCGCTCTCCCTCTCAAACCCAGACCCATAACGCCCCAGAAGGACACGTACCATCTTTACTTGCTCGGCACCTACATCTACACTGCGGGAGGCTAGGGGTCCGGGACAAGGGGGTCAGGCAGCACTCCTGGGGCCCACGCCCTTCTTCAGACCTCCAGTTCTACTCTCTCCCTGCAGATGCTTGAGCTTTCCCCCCTTGGGAGCCTCAAGTGCTCAGGGAGGTGCGTGGAAGGACCGCGTTACCCTCTTACACATCACCGGTGGCCGAACTGGGCCAGGTGTTCATATTTCGAGGCGTTCCCATTAACCCACGTGCCAGAAAATCAGCTCTCCATGCCTCACCGGGTCCGCCTTTTTTGTTCCTTTCTTATTGTATGAGATTATAAATATCGCCCACTAAGCTTGGTTAAACATATGAAGATTGTATTTCAAAGCCTCAGTCAGAAAGCTTTAGAAGCATACCCTTCTGAATCACCCACACCTCTGGTCACGAGCATGCCCTGCTCTGTCAGCTGCTTAATCAAGAACTGCCCACAAATTTATCTTCCCTCCCTTTTCTGGCCTGAAAACGGAATCTGTGAACCACAGACCTTCCTGAAAATTAGGAATGTACGTGATGTGACAAGAGAGCTCCTTAAAAGCCTCAGGTGTGCAGAATTCTCCCTCTGGGATCTAACCGGATATAACCTTCTCTTTTCCTGTTCCTCTAAACAGAGTATATAGCAGTGATGGTGAACCTTCTGAGCTCGGCGTGTCAGCATTTTGAAAAAACCTAACTTAACTCTGGTGCCGTGTCACATATAGAAATGTTTTGATCTTTGCAACCATAGTAAAACAAAGACTTATATTTTTTATATTTATTTTATATATTTAAATGTCATTTAACAAAGAAAAATCAACCAAAAAAATGAGTTCGCGTGTCACCTCTGACACGTGTCACAGGTTCGCCATCACTGGTCTATAGTGTCAAAGGTTAAACAGAAATTCTTCGTCTCTTAAACAAAACGGAGGACCCTGCCTGCAGAGAAGGGACTTGCCCACGTAGACCGGGTGGACGTGGCTTGTGATTTGAGATAACAATCGGCTCTGTTCTCCGGGCTCATCTATACACATCACGGGGGCCAGGGTGACAAATCCTCCCCTGTGGTCAGGAGACGGAGGTTCAAGAACTCGCTTTGTTTCCTCCCGACTGTATGATGTGGGCAAACTATGTCCCTCATTGGCCCTGGATTCCTCGGCCGTAGACTCCCAGGCGGGCCTGGTGAACTGACCCCTTCCAGGGCGGATGTGCTGATCCTGAGTGGACACTAACGCCTCCCATCCTGCCTTTACGTTGCAGGGACAGTGTTTGAGGGCAGTTACAGAGGATGAGAAGAAGCCACGCAGGAACTTGAGGCTGGCATCCCAAAGTCACCCCCACTTGTAACGATACGCCGTGGTGTCGGGAGTAATTAGCCATCTTCTTAGACTGGCTCAGGTCTAAGCTGGCGCTTGTAGAGTGGGGGGTGCCGTCGGGGGTGTAGCGGGGTGCTTCAGTAGACCGCGAGGTGGTGAAGGGAGCAGCCCACAGACTGAGTCCCAGCTTTTAGGGCGTCAAGATCAAGGGCCAAATGCGGCGCTGCCACTGCCCGCACTGCCCGGCTCACCCAGAGCTGCTGCTGGCAGGAGCCCAGCTGGGCCCAGCTCTCTCCTTGGAGTGGGACTCCACGGCAGTCCCAGGCAAACCTGTTCATTTGGAGGCTGATTATAGAAACATGGCCAGAATTCTCCCCTCCCTGTCACTTCCAAAGGATGCGGGCAGCAAACGGGGCTGTTACCAAGGAGCAATGAGGAGGCAGCCCCACAGGAGCGAAGCCCCAAACCAGGGCACTGCATTCGCGAGGCCCTCTCACACCGGCGGCCTCAAGCAGGGTTGCAGGTGTGTGTGGGTTGCAGGTGTGTGGGTGAGCCTGTTGCTCAGTGAGAGCCTGGAGTGGTTTGGACTTGATTATTTGCACACACTGTCTCCGAGGCATGTTTGCAATGAGGTGTGGTTCCCTCAGGTTTTCTCTGGAAGTTATCAGGAACAGCGGAGTTTGAAAATGTTGCCAGGAGAAAAGTAACGTTAAGGAAATGCTCTGGGAGAGAAAGTGCATGGACTGAGAGGAGGATCTGAGACTGAACCAGATTAGAACGACTGGGACGGAGTCATTTAAACTTGGCCCTGCCCTCTCCTCGGCTGTGCTCAGAAAGGCGGACAGGACCTGGGTCCTGTCCTCAAGGGGGTGTAGTGTAACCCTGACTTAGCCCTGCGGCAGGGCTGTCCAGCCCGTACATTTGGGGCTGGGTGATTCTCGCTGTGGGGCTGTCCTGTGCACTGAGCATTAGCAGCAGCTGGTCTCTGCCCACTAGATGCCTGTAGCCCCCCGACCTGTCACAGCCAAAACTGCCCGCAGACGTGGCCAGATGTCTCTGGGGGCAGAGGGGCAGTTGCCCCTGGCTGAGAACTACTGCCCCAGGAGCGTACAGTGACTTTTCTACCACAGGGCTCCAGAGCGTCACATCACACGCCCTGGTGATGACTCTATTGAGAAGGTTACCCCTGAAACAATAAGGCTGGGGTTACTCACGTCAAACCATCAAACCCAAGAGGGACTCTGGGCCCCATATTCTTTTAGAACTTGCGTATTCTTTTATATAATCGGGTATGTCCAAGGCTAAGAGAAATGGGTGAGAGAGAACTATTCACCCTTAAGATTACAAACCTCTGTCCCAGGGGTCCAGACGCCACCCAGGTAGCAACTTCCCTCAGAATCCCCTCATCATTCCCCTCCCTCCCTCAGTACAAGGTTTTCTCTCGTCTCGTTGCCTTTGGTCACAATGCCCACTCTTTACGGGGAGGTGACAGTCGTGCCAGGCACTTTCTGCAGCTCCTACGAGGTGCCTCCACTAAGTGACACAAATGGAAAGCTGGACTGAAGGGGGGAAACAAGGCTCATTGTCCTGAAGGCGGGATCCGGAGAGAGGAGCACATCCGGGACCATCCCTGCCTCACAGGAAGTCAGATGCCCCCGTGAGGAAGGGAGGGGCTGCAGGGGCGGAGTCACAGTCCAGGGGCCCAGTTCTTGGTTTCTGCAAATTGACTCTTCTTGGCCACAGACACCGACGCTGGGTCTAGATGGTGATGGGTGACAAAGCTAGAGCCCATCCAACCTGAGTACTCATGTTGTCTAGCCCTGTTTTCAACACTGAGGGACAAGAGGAAGCCAAAAAGTTTCTATAATCCTGTCTTTAGTGGGCCTGCGCTGAGCAACTGCATGCCCCGCAGTGGGACCGGAGCCGGCTGAGGTGCAGGTAGACAGCGCTGCACAGTGGCGGGAGGTGGGGGGCTCACCCACAGCAACTCTGTGGAGTAGCACGATCAGATTCCGCTTGACCCTAAGGAAACCGGGTAGTTTTAGAAAACCTTTAAAAAAGAGGTAGAACAAAAGCTTGCAAAGCTAAGATGGCTAATTATCTGATTTTTCGAGACCAGAATGTATGCTGTGTGGTTCTTGACCTTGTGTTTCCCCAAGTTCCTATTTATAAATAAACTCTATGAGATGGGAAAGGATCAGTTCTTCCAAAGTATCCCAATGAGAGATCAGAGGGGCTCCTGCCTTCCAGCTGCCCCTGGAGACAGGGGCTGACGGGTCAGGAGTAAAATCATCAACGTGCTGAGCAGTGAGTCCCAGTCCCTTCATCTAAGGCAGTTCACCACACCGCGTGCTTTCTGCGCACAGCCCAGGCCCGGCTCTGAGGGGAACGCCCAGGGAGCAACTTTCCTGGGAGAGCCCGCCGTGGGCGGTACCTTGCCCCTAACAACAAGCCCCTGGCCCGGAGCAGACCGTGCTCAGAAACGACGTGGGCAAAGGGGTCAGGCCGGGAGCTGGAGCTGCCTTGGTGAGGTGGTCCAGCTCCCTGTCCAGCACCGTCTCCCCGACACCCATCCACACTGTGCCAGCCCCCTTCTAACATGGCAGCTGTCTCTGTGTGTGCACCCCATTTACGTTGCCCACACGATTCCCTTTGGGAGGCCCCTCGCCTTTTCCACCTGGAAAATTCTTTCAAAGTCCAATTCCAATCATATCCTCCCAGAAGTCTCCCCCATCCCCCTGACGGAGACTCAGTCTCCCTCAGAGAAGCTGGAGTCACGTGCCGTCTCTGACTCTGAGTGTGCCGCAGGGTGATCTGTTACCACACGGAATCAGAAAAGTGTCTAACTTGTCCGCACACTTCAGGCGCCGTAAGGACAGGGACCATTGGTGTCTTTCTCGCTTTTTGTGCCTGGCACTGTGCCTGGTGCTCAGGACGAGTTTGAAAGAATGTAACCAATCCGTCTCCCTTCCCTCCCCTCGCCAGTGTCTTCTCTGCAGAATGATTTGAACATAAGCCTGGCAGACTGTTACATTTTAGTTTTATCTTTATTTTGCTTTGTTATCAATTTGCCAACAGCATCAAAATCAGTTCATTTGTTTAAGAAAAACTAAAGATGGGCACTTAGCTGCCAAGCTTTGAAGGCCTGGGAGGGAGTTGCCTAGAGATGCTACCAGGCTTTCCGTTGCCCTGGCCTCACCACCCATCATTCCTTCCGCAGGGAGGGTACCAAGCACCCCGGGCCGGCACTGTAACCCGCGCCTACTGGCCCGCGCCTAGGCCCTAGAGTGGGGCGGCTCCCTCTCCTGGGCCTGCATTCCTGCAACCTGGAAGGGTAGGGCCCTTAGTCCCTATCATGGTCGTAGAAAACCAGTTCTCTCATGTAATCCCGAAGTATCTTCTTTGCCGGTTTATGTGTAGAAATTACTTCTTTACTGGATTATTTCTTTGTAGTGTTAATAAGGAAAAGTCCCCGGTTAGGTCCTCCAAAGACGGTGATGTTCTGCGATGATTGAGGGCTTCTTCCTTGCTCTTCTTACCAAAGCATCATCCAGATGAGGGCTAGCATGTCGCTGACCTGAGTCTATGACAGAGTTTTGCCATTCGGAATGGGATTACCCCCACTCTCCTTGCCTCTTTCCATTTTCACTAGGTAACATGGCCCCTACCCAAACCGTCCACACTTTAACACTTTGAAAAGGACTGTATCCCTTTTTACTCAAAATTCTGTTTGAGTAAACAGAATTGCAAATAGCCTGGGAAATGCTAGGCTTGTTCCAGGAACCGCGAGCTGTGTCAGTGAGGCGCTTGTTCCTCGGCTGGCCTTTTCTGTTTGCACTTGAGGCCTCAGAAGACCTCAAAAGCAGTTAAGCCACATCCCTCGGTCCAGCGAGATGCCAGTGGAAGACGCAGCTCCTGAGCCAGCCAGACCAGGTAGCAGTGCCCCCGTGGCAGGCAGCCTGCCCATCTCTCTAAGCTGTACCTTCCTGGGAGAGGCATGTGACAGTCCCGTGCTGTGTCTGTGTGGTTTCCTTCTGAGTGTCGTATTGCCCTGTCTCTGCTCGCCCTGACATGCGCCGGAGCACTTGATGGAGCGCGGACGGCTCCCCCATGTCTGCCCGGCGTGCCCCCTGTTACACAGCTCAGGAGCTCCTCTGTGTTCTCATCCAGGAGCTCTCGTGTCCGTCTCTGTCCACCAGCCCGCCTCCGATTCTCCTCTCTGTCCCACTGGTCTTCAATGGGAACTGCTTGTCTTGTTCACCGTCAGAAACAAACCATGTCTGTGTTTAATCTGCAGATGAATTTCTCTCCGGCATCATCTTTGACGCCTGTTCTCTGCAGCATCCCAGAGGCTGCTGTAATGCAGGCTTTGGTTTCTCTCTCTGGGCCTGGTTCTCCGGTCGCCCCAACAGCTCTCCCTGCACCCCGGAGTCTCCCTGGCTTCCCTTCTCCCTTTAGTTCGTAGATGCTTTGGTGTCCGCCTCCTATGGGACCCTGGCCCCGTGGCTTCACCCTGCTCTGCAGAGAAGCCCTGCTTCTGTGATGGTGGGTGGGGCAGGAGGCAGGCATAGCATCCCAACACCTTCCTGCCCTGGGCTTCTGCAGGGCGCAAGTCTGAGGAGGTGGCGCCTGGCTCCCATCCCTCTTGCGTAGTGGCTGGCGCTCTCTGCTTGCTCAGTCAAGCTGCGTTGTTGAAGCTGCATCGAAGTCGAGGCTGAGAGCTTCTGTCCCGGTCTTGGGGCGCCCCTCGTCGTGGTGCTGGCTCTCCTCTCGCTGTTTCCAAGGAGGCGCAACCCGGGCCCTGACAAGTAGTCGCCCTGGAGCAAGGAGCCCGGCCAAGCCCTGGAGAAAATCGGGCCGTTGTGCATCGGGCCTAGTGCAGCACGGGCACCGCTCAGGGAACCAGGAAAGCGGACTCTCCCTCCTGACAAGCCACCAAGCGGGGCTCTTGAGAGGAGCCCATTCCCGGAGGCCCTGCTCCCCAAGGCCACGGCGCTGGGCAGCTCCGAGCCCTGTCGGCTGTCGGGGCCAGTGGCTCCCAGGACGTGTGAGGTGACTGTGAAGGTGACGGCGATAGAAACTGTCCGGTTTGGACGGCTTAGCCAAGTGGTTGGGCTTCCTGGTTATAGTCTCATGTGGTGAGAACTAGTTTGGTACCACAGGCATCTGGAGTTTTAGGAACAAAGAACAAAGGTGTATTTCATTGAAAGGCCTAGAAAGACAACCATGACTAGTTGGGGGTTTTCTGGGTGGTGGTTGTTTTTAAGATCCTAGAGGCCTTGGTCGCCTCCAGGTACCTTAAAAGGAAAAACACACCCAATACCAAATTCCCGAGAGCAGAGGCCGCAGCCGCGCGGGAACAAGCATGAGCTGCACAAACACGACACTCTCCCAGGGGAAAGTCGCATGTGAGTGCCTCCCAGGCCACACACAGGCCCTGTGTTCAGGTCAGGGAGCCACTTGGGAGGCCATGGGCTACCGGGGGTGGCTGAGAAGAGCCCGGAGAGCAGGTCACCCTGTGCTTGAGAACAGCTCCTCCCCACACCTGCCATTCATCCTTACAACTCCCGGGACCACCTGGGAAGCCAGACCAGAGACTCCAGGGCCGGCCTTGGCCCAGGAGGCTGCAGACTCACTAGGAGATTGCAGAATAGCAGCAAAGGACACTGGCTGGTGGCCCCGAGGGAATCAGCCCGGCGCTGGTCACATGGCAGAAGGCGTGAGCAGAACCTCACCAGCTGTCTCCGGTCTGGTTCCCTAGGGTGTCCAGTGATCTCAGGGTAAGGGCCTGGCCCTCACCTGGCCAGGGCTCGCCCAGGGTCTCGGTGCCTTAGTGTCAGGCTGGGTAGCCACCTCCTGCACAACTCCTGCCTCCACCGTGAACTGGAACAAACATCCACACACACAGGCCGCAAGTTCCTCCTGAATCAGAGAAGCCACCAGACCAGAGGGGTGTGTAGGCAGAGGCTGGGTTTGGATGGAGGCCCTGCTGGGAGGAGGATGAGTGGTTCTAAGAACTGGACGGAGCAGGCTGGGCACCCAGCGGCTTCAGGACGGGGCTCCCTGTCCTACGGAAGCAGATGGAGTCACCATGCCCCTCCCCCGGGGAGGTCCCCATAGGCTGACTAGGAGATTTCACCTTAGACACTGGGCACTGTTTCAGCCCAACTCGCCCCATTTATCTGCAACAATAGCTGCTGAGAGAAGCTGCACTCCCCTGGTCCCACCTGGCACAGAAGGGAGGCTGGTATGGAGGAGTTTCTCGTTTATCCAGTGGGGCCAGAGTAATAATAGAACTAGACCAGGACAACAAGACTGGCTGGGGACGGAGCAGAAGTGTGGGGACAGGTTCCAACCACGCTCTGCCAGCCCCGCCAGCCTGACACGGCTGGCTCCTTGCTGAGGAAGAGGGGCGGGTACCAGAGAGGCAGGTGACAGCCTGCCAAGTAGACGCTGATGCTTAGCCTTCCTCACCTGCCACCTGGGCCATTTTGTATGAAAAGCTGAAGTCCGGCCCAAGCAAAGAAACTGCTGTGATCAAAGAACATCAGAAGGAGGGGTCACTGTGTGAATCCCCTCGGTGGGCAATTCCCTCCACCCTGTCTGCCTAATACCTCCAACCCAACGAAAGGTAGAGCTTCGAAACACTGGTCATGCCCGCCACGGCTTGACTCGGTTAACTTCCCATCTTTTCCTTCCCTTTTGAAGAGCGAGACCTCACCTACGCAGGACTGAGCCTGGGTATGTGGCTGCCGGCCGTGCATGCTGCCGCGGGTGATCGCTGTGACTCTCAGTGTGATCTGGGCCTGCGGCACTTCCTGCCCCTCCTCTGTGCTTCTCTGTGCTGCTGCTCTGGCTCCGGCCCTTCACACTGTGGGTCTGACCCTCAAGTCTCTCTCTGATTCAAAGATGATCCGCCAATCAAATGCTCCCCTAATGAAAGACCGAATCACTCTGTACAGCATGTGTGCATCCAAAGAGCCTGTCTCTGATCTTTGTTGGCCATGGTGGAAAGCCATTGCCTGAAAACATGCCTGGGCCCACTGTGGAGGTCGGGGGACTGGCGAGGTGACCTTGGGGATGGGCCCCTGGTTTAGGACTGTGCAATGGAACTTGGTGCGGGGGGCAACCCTGATACAGAGGCATCCCAGTGGGCCTTATACCCAGCAAGCAAAGGTGGAGCAAGTTCTTATTCTGTAACCCAGGGTTTCTCAAAGGGTGGTACATGGACCACGTACATCAGCATCAGCTCGAGGAGCTTTAATACAAATGCAGATTCCTGGGCTCCACCCCAGATGGAATCAGAGTCTCTGAGGGCTAGACTCAAAAAAGTCTACATTTTAAACAAGCTCTTCAGACGATCCTGGTGCAAATTTGAGAACCCCTGCTGGAGAATGACCACAGTTTGCAAGCGGCCCCCTCTAAGTACTCCAGCCAGTCCTGCTAAGACCAGAACCTGGGAACAGAGATGGGGAAATTGCACCTTCCGGTGGATGATTATGTACCTGTCATTTGATGTCACACCCGTGTGCTGTGGGGAGAGAGGAAGGGGAAGGGAGGAATGTAACGTGTGTTTGCTGCCTCTTCCCCAGGAATCATCCTTTCGGTGGTCCTGGCTTGCATTCTTGGCTTCTGCATCGTCCTGGCAGTAACCATCTGGCTTTTCAGAAGGAAGAAGAGGTGAGTTGGTTTTGCTTTGAAATAGGAGTGGGTGGCGTATGTGTCCCTGAGGATGACTCTGTCTGGGAAGGCAGCCTGCACAGTGAAGAGCCCCTGCCCCGGTACCAACACCCCTGGCTCAGGCCTCTTTGCATGAGATGCTGGTCGTACAAGGGTCGTTGTGCTGGAGGTTCTGCCAGCCTTGCTGCTGTGGCTAAAACCTTGGACCAGGCTCTTGGTGGTGGTGGTGGTGGGGGGGGGGGGGTTGGTTGGGGGGGCAGGGTCCCATTTGCCTAAATGTAAGCAGCAAGGCTGTCTTCCAAGATCTTTACATCTGGTGTGTCCTCTTTTCTTATATGTATATTTTTTATTGAACTTATTGGGGTTATATTGGTTAATAGGTTTCAAGTGTACAATTCTGTAATACATCATCTGAATATCGTGTGTTCACCCCACAGGGTCTAGTTTCCTTTCATCACCATTTATCCTCCTTTACCCTCTTTCCTCCTCCCCCCTCCCCACCCTTCCCCCTGGTACTGTTGTCTGTGTCTACAAGTTTGTTTGTTTTTCTTAATCCCTTCACTTTTTTCACCCAGCCCCTAAACCTCCTGACAGCTGTCAGTCCGTTCTCTGTACCTATGAGTACATTTCTATTTTGTTTATTTATTTTGTTCGTTAGATTCCACATGTAAGTGAAATCACATGGTATTTGTCTTTTATGAATCCAAAAAGAAAAGTGGAGGAAAATTTTATTTTTCACTCACTTTAGCTATAGTGCCCTTTGCTCCTATTTCACTGTTATGTTTATTTTTTTCCCCTAAAACCCAAATGATTTTTCCTGGCATGAAAGAAAAGGTTGCCAGGAACCCTGCTATGAAGTCGAAGGTTTGAAGCAAGGGTGGTAACGAGTGCTGGTTCCCAAACGCAGGCCTAGTATTGTCAGGTGTTAAAAAAGAACAGCTAGACAATGAACAGGTCCCATTTTGGTTAATGCTTTAGTTGCAGCCATTCCCTCCGAAAACCAACAGAAAAGGTCCCGAGACAGGAATCTGGCCCCTAAAACTTGCTTCGTTTCATAGCTGTCAGGCTGCGCTCGGCCTCTCTCCCCTCTTTGACTTATGAGCTGTGTGTGTCCTTTTCCTTCCAGCAGCAAGAAAGGTGGCAGCAATAAAGGCGTCATTTACAAACCGGCCCTCAGGAAGGAGGCGGAGGCCCACGCCTGAGGTCCTGGCGCTGCAGGCGCCGAGGGAGGACTTCGCTTTGGATGCTTACACCGCGGCTCCCTGGACGCTTGAACTACCCGAAGGTTCTATGCAGCTCACCCCCCAAACACCCCAGACCCGTGGGGGCCTCTAGCTGGGTGCCCCCCACCCTGATGCTCGGCCTCTCCCAGGGCGATCGTGGATGGGAGAGCTCACCCAGGAGCAGGAACTCGGAGCTGTGTGCTTCATCTGTGTGAGACCAGAGAGGTCTGGACTCTGGGACACACCCCACGTCGCCTGTGGGGGCTGTGATAATTGAACGTCACTTTTCTCCAGGGCTTCACTCAGGTGTGGTTTCGAAAGTCCTGGAAGGTCAGCTCCTTATCCAAGATTTCACACCAGCGTGTGCGCATGTGCACCCTCTACTTCGTTGTGCTTTGGAGACTCAAGTCTTGCCTCAGGGAAGCCGGTGTTGTCTTCCTCCTGCTGTGACACGACCTTTAGTCTGACCTTGCCACCCGGGCAGTGGGGGTGGGGGGGTGGGGGGGGGGAAGCACAGGGTCAAGGTGCCTGAGACAAAAGGAAGGGGATATTCTTTGAAAGATGGAAGAGGCATCTTCCCAGTCCTGTCCTGTGGGTCAGACACGCCGACTAGACTGCAGAGAGCATGGGAGACAAGGTCTGAGGAATCTTGGAAGCTGTGAGTGGGAGAAGGTCAGACTAGGAAGCCCAAGCCCGACCGCCTGTAGCAGGGCAGTGAGGGTTTGTGCTCCATAGAGTTTATCAATAATTGGGCTATCCCCTGAAAATGTGCTGTTGCTTTCTCTCTCCTGGAGCGGACGTGTGTTCTGAGAACCTAGGAAACAGGCAGAAGCAAAGTGGTCGATGAGCTTTGTCCCTTTTGCCTAAATTTCATTTCTGCCTCCTTCGTGGGATTGGGACTTGGCTACTTCTCTGACCCTGAGGATCGAGCCACAGCTTAGTTAAAAGATATTTCAAGGTATGACAGCAGGGCTGGCAGCATGGGATGTAGGGACCAAACCAAAGGAATGTTCCAAAGATCCCTCATGGTCCTCCCCCCAAGTCCCAAAGGCAGTTCCTGAGGAGACAACTCCTTCACTGTCCCCTCCGATGCAAGAGCCCAGGAGACCAGTGAGTCCCAGGCCCGAGGAGGGGCCCCACCCCCACCGCAGCCTCTCAGGTCAGCACCTCCCAGTTCACAGAACCCGCTGGTCCCCAGCCTCATCTGACAGCATGGAATGTCCTCCTGAAGCACGGGTCCCTTCTGTCCTCTTTCCCTCCTGCTCTCCCTCTGACGCTCACAGGTCTTCGCCACTCTCTGCTCTCACGACTTCCCTAGTGACGCCAGCCCTGTGCCTCTGCGGCTCATGTGCCTGGCGGAGTTACAAATGACCCTCCGGCGCCTCGGAGACGTGGGTGCTCACGCGGCCTCTGGCAGGGCTGGGGCCTGGGGTGGCCTCCCCTGCTGCCGTCAGCGCACCTGATGCTGGTCAGGTGGCAGCGGGGACAGCCCAGTGACCAGCGACAAGAACGAGGCAAAGCTTTCTTGGCCTCGGCCCAACGTGGCCCATCAGACACCAACAGGAGCCACTCCAGAGCCGTGGGACCGACACCAAAAGCTCTCTACGCCTTCGGTAGATGGATTTTGTACGAGAACAGAGAAATCACTGTACCTGGCAGTGGCTCTCATCAGAAGAGAGACTTACTGGGTGGTGAGAGCAGCAGCGTTCCTCTTGCCCCCTTCCCCCAGCACAGCCCAGGCTCTGGCTTCCTGGGCCTCTCGGCTGAGAAAAAACAAAGCCAGGGAGGCAAGCAGAGGCTCCCAGAACCCACAGGCGACCTCCCTCCTAATCCTTATGGGACTGGGAAGCCTTTCCTCAGGCTCTCACTGACCCACTGACACAGTCGCCACTGAGGTAAACCTGGGGGGGGGGGCGGGGCGCACGCGGGAAGGCCTGGCTTCGTCGCCTCTCACTAGTGGCGGTCAGGAGTCTCTCCGTTTGTTTCTTTAGTTTCCTCTGATAAAACAGTAAAAACCTGCACCTGTTTTCTTAATAGACATTCTAAGATTTGCTGCATTGACTATTAATGGCATTTCAAGTTCAGACCTTAAATTCCTCTCCCCTTCACTAAGCTCTCTGAGCGCCTCCTGGCTGGCCCTGGGGAGCACCGGGGTCTGCAGCTCCCCTCTGTCCCTGTGCCTGGGACGGAGCGTCGGCCACTGTGACGAAGGTCTGTTTAGCACTTATGTATTTACTGTAAGAATGATTGTAATGAAGACACTGTAAATATGAGAAATTACAAATAAAGTTTTTCACAGAAGACTGAGTTTCTGGAGGTGAGGGGAAAGCACTACTATCAGCAAAGCACTCGGCAGTTCCCAGGGTCGGGTGACAAGTAACCCACCAGAATGAACAGCAATGCCGTTTGCCTCCAGGTCTCAGCACCTGGCTCCACAGGCGCACACACTGGAATCCTTCATCCCTCTATTGCAGGTGGAGGCCTGCGGCGCCTGCAGCCCAGGGTCCCAGCTGCTTACCCCGGAGCCAGGAAGTCTAGAGCAGTGGTCGGCAAACTCATTAGTCAACAGAGCCAAATATCAACAGTACAACGATTGAAATTTCTTTGGAGAGCCAAATTTTTTAAACTTAAACTATATAGGTAGGTACATTGTTATTAACTTAATTAGGGTACTCCTAAGGCCTAGGAAGAGCCACACTCAAGGGGCCAAAGAGCCGCATGTGGCTCGCGAGCCACAGTTTGCCAACCACTGGTCTAGAGTGATAAGGGAAAGAGCCTTGAAAAATAAGTCAAAGATAAACAGATGCTTGGAAAAGAGGGAGCTATTCTTAACCAAAGGGCCATGAACACAGGAAACGGGTCTTCTGTCCCTTTACCAGATATTACACCTCGTAGGTGGTAGCCTCTCTTCGTTGCCTGAATGTGACCTTATTTTGGATCCTTTTTACAAAACACACTATCACCCTCCGTGTCATCTTGTGTCTAGGTCCAGATTTCAGATTCTGGTTTGCTAAAGAAGCCAGGCCATCACTGTGTACCTGACTTATTTAGAAAAGCTCCCGGTTCTCACTTCAGTCGCCCCAGGGTGGAGATGGGTATAACAAAGTCACCCCCCTCCTCCCCCCACAGCCTCACCCCCACTCCCTGCTCTCCCTTCCCTCGCAGTGAGGACCGGCAAGTGTGGTGACAAGAGCCACAGGCTGGCCGAGGAGACTCCAGTCCTCTTTCAGTGCGGCCATTGCCTCCTCATCGAAATCCAGCCCAGCAGGATTCCAATAAAATATAATGCAAGATGTGAAATTTTAAAGTTCTAGTAGCCACACCAAAAAAAGGTAAAAGAAACCAGTGACATTAATTTTACTATATTTTATGTAACCCAGTAGATCCAAAATACTATAATTTCAACATGTGATCAATATTTTGATATGAAAGAATTTCGTGGTTTTATTCTCACAGCAAGTCTGAAATCTGGTGTGAATTTTATCCTTCTAGCACATCTCAATTCAGATGCTACATTTTCATTGAAAACATTTTATCTATATTTAGACTTCATAAAATTTACAGTTGAAAAAGCAGATTCACATACTTGCTCCAAACACACCCAGAAGTTTTCCAAATAACTGAATTATCAGCTTTTAAATTTAAACTTATGAAAATAAAATAAACGGAGTCTCTCTCATTTCACTAACCACACTCCAGCGCTCCGTCGGCCCATGTGGCCAGGGCAGCACAGCCACCGTGCGGATGTGGAACACTGGCCTCTTCCTTTGAGAGGGTTAGACCCGGAGGACTTTCACACAAAAATAAACACTGGCGTGAGGGGCAGGGGGTGGGAGACAGAGGATAGGAGGACCCAGGGAGGCAGATACGGAGGGCAAGGGCGGTAGGAAAGAGGGCAGGTGGCAAATCAGGCCAAGGCGAACAGACCAGCTGACCGTAGACCAGCTGCAGGCCTACTCCACCTCTTTCCCTGGCTCAGGAAGGAGCACTCCCCAGCCCTCCCTGCCCTGGCCATGCCTCTGGGCCATGCCCTGGGGGCCAGGTGCTCAGCAGTGACTCCAGCCTGGGGCGTCCCAGTGCCTTGTGGGGAAGCTCTGGCTGTGGACACAAGGGCCAGGGACCTGATGCTGCTGGACCCTGACCCAGGGCTCACTGCAACCTGCCCAACCCCCATCCCCTCGGTCCTGACATTCCTGCACCTGACAAGGCAGTCTCCACTCCAGCCCCAGGGGACCAGCACCTCTTGAATTGTTAGTGGTGCCTCTGTTAGAACAAGTTCCCTTTCTTCCTTCGAGGTGCGGGGAGAAGTCTTGAGACCCACTTAGGAGAGGAAACCAGACCTCTGGGGCTGCCTGCGGGGAAGCGGGGTGTCACCTGTGCCGTGGGCACTGTTCTGGCATCACCATCCATGTCCACATTGGAAACGGCCTGGCAGGATGCATGGCCCAGGTGTGGGGGAAGGTGTGGAGGGTCCCCATGCCTCACCGTGCCCTTTAATTATTGAATGACTGGGCAGAGAGAAGGGCCCAAGTGCATTGTGGTATGGAATGATTCACCATAACAACTTATTGGAACCAGGTCAGCATATCATTATGACTGCAGGTCGCCCAGGGCTTCAGTATTGCCTCTCACTTGTGTACCTTCGTTTCAATGCACCTTCACTCCAACAACCCAGGGAAGAGGGAGCAAGGCCCTTATCTTACAGGTGGGAAACGAACCCGGGGCTCTGGCTCTGGGCTAAGCTAAGGCCGCACAGCTCCTGCAGTGCTAGGATCTGCACAGCTTCCACAGCTCCGGCGACATGGAAACACCTTCTTGTAATAGAATTCACTGTGCTGATCTCCATCATGCCGTAACCTCATAACACCCCACAGGCTAAAGGCACTAAAGCGTCTCTGCCAATGATTTCTGGAAAGTCAACAACCACGCCCGCCTCCAATCTGACTGGTAACATTAAACCCTGGCCTCTGTTCAGGAAAGTCTGACCAAGGAGTGACAACTGCAAGTGAGCAAAGGAGTCAGCCCAGCGC